CCACCTGTGTGCACAGACGTGGGGTCATGGTGAGCCCATAGTGCAGAGAGTGGCAAATGGCCACATGGCAGTCATAGGACATGACCACAAGGAAGAAGAACTCCGTGGACCCAAAGAAAATAAATAGGGAGGTCTGAGAAGCACAAGCTGTGAGAGAAATCAGTTTACTGCCTTTTAGAGAATTTACAATGGAACTGGGGACAGTAATTGAGATGTAACCAAACTCTATGAGGGATAAATTGCCTATAAAGAAGTACACTGGGGAGTGAAGGTGTGTGTCCATAACAATGATGATAAAAGAGAAAATTTCCAGCTAGGGCTCCCAGGAAAATCATTAAAAACAGCAGACCTTGTAAGACTTGGAGTTTCTAGGAGCTTGAGATGTCCCTGAGGAGGAATTCCCTGAAGAGGGCAAAGTTATCCATGTTCACTAACATGTTGTTGTAACTTGTAGTCTATGGATAAAGTGATAAGATGTTCCTACAAGCAGAAATTTGAGAGGACAACACTCTTCATATGATATACAAGCCCTGAAATGACTTGATTTATAGACTTAAACTATGTGTATCACATATCTAATGGTTATAGACTTAGGGAGTTGTAATAAATTGATAAAATTAAAGGCTTTTATTATAGGAAAACACAAAATGCTAATAACACTGAATGGTATCACTGTACCTTGGCAATTTGGTTTTCCTCAATCTGATAAAACAATGTGAAGGGAAGCCTGAACACGATCCCTGTGTGGACAGCAGAATAGACTAGCCCACCGGCCCATGAGACACCTGCCACCTGTGTGCACAGACGTGGGGTCATGGTGAGCCCATAGTGCAGAGAGTGGCAAATGGCCACATGGCAGTCATAGGACATGACCACAAGGAAGAAGAACTCCGTGGACCCAAAGAAAATAAATAGGGAGGTCTGAGAAGCACAAGCTGTGAGAGAAATCAGTTTACTGCCTTTTAGAGAATTTACAATGGAACTGGGGACAGTAATTGAGATGTAACCAAACTCTATGAGGGATAAATTGCCTATAAAGAAGTACACTGGGGAGTGAAGGTGTGTGTCCATAACAATGATGATAAAAGAGAAAATTTCCAGCTAGGGCTCCCAGGAAAATCATTAAAAACAGCAGACCTTGTAAGACTTGGAGTTTCTAGGAGCTTGAGATGTCCCTGAGGAGGAATTCCCTGAAGAGGGCAAAGTTATCCATGTTCACTAACATGTTGTTGTAACTTGTAGTCTATGGATAAAGTGATAAGATGTTCCTACAAGCAGAAATTTGAGAGGACAACACTCTTCATATGATATACAAGCCCTGAAATGACTTGATTTATAGACTTAAACTATGTGTATCACATATCTAATGGTTATAGACTTAGGGAGTTGTAATAAATTGATAAAATTAAAGGCTTTTATTATAGGAAAACACAAAATGCTAATAACACTGAATGGTATCACTGTACCTTGGCAATTTGGTTTTCCTCAATCTGATAAAACAATCAAAATGCAATCCCATAAGGAAATAAGCATGAAGAGCAAAAACAGATATCCCTGAAGAATGAGATGAGAGGTCTCTCTTCCTGCAATGAGCACTTATGCAAACACACTGATGAAATGCCCAATTTCATTACTCTTCTGTTCAATGCAGTGAGCAACATCCAGAGATTCTTCTTTGCAGGTGTGTTTGTGCTCTAAGCCACAAGAACACATGTGTCTCAGGCTTCCCTGAAGTGTTTGGTGAATGCTTTCTGAATTACACAGCTGTACTTGTATCTCTGACCATCCTCAGGGGAGGTAATTGCAGCCTCCTGAAAAGGTGCAGGTCCTCCACGCCTTGTTTTCCATAGGCATTTTAGCCAACCCATCGAGATGAATTAGACTGGCAAGAGTATGATTTTTAAGAGAGAAATTTAGAGTAGGAATTTGTAAATTTAAGAAAGCATAAGCTCCCAAAAATGGCTTATGAATCACTGGTGGCTAAATCACTATATAAATATATCTTTACAATGTAAAATATGTGTTAAAATGTGAAATAAAACCGCATTGAGTTCAACTCTCACTGTCATAACTAAATTAAGAGAAAGTTTATGAAAGTCAAAATCATCACAATTAATGGTTAATGAAGTAACTTTGAAAATTGGAAGCCACGGAATGAGAAAGGAAACTTGTTATTACAGCGTGATTTAAGCTCCTAATCTAATGCTTAGGACAGTCTCTGATGGCTGACCCATGACGAGTTGTAATAAAAAATGATAAACAGACAAAATTGTCACAAAGTAATAGAAATCTATGGGATAAATTCAGGGAAAATAAGGTTGCTGTGTGGAAAAGGACATATGAGAGAGACCCCAGTGACTCCCTGATCAGGGGAGATGGAGCAAAGTGACTGATGTCCCAACCAGAGCAGTGAAGGGAAGAAAGCTTCACTGAAAGATGTGCAGGGTTCAGGAGATCCCCCTTCTTCAATTAATGTGAGGATGAATTTCCAGGCTCATACAGGTTGTGAATCTTGCTTTATCCAAAAACAGACAGTGGCCAAACGACAGATGACAAAGGAGCTCTGACGCCAAACTCCAAAGCAACCAGCCCCGGGAGTCAGACCACAGCCCCTGCAGCATCAGCAGCAGGGCCAGGACTCGGTCAGTAACTACCAGTTTCCAAAATTTGTGCTCCATTTTCATTTCAGGACAAACCACAGGAAGCCAGATATGCTCCCCAAACCAATCTTACAGGATGGCCCCCTCCTACTTAGTCACCTCCAGCTCCTCTGCCTCAACAACTTCCCATCAGGGAACACCTGGACCCTCCTCTTCCTTCCCTCTCCCTTTCCTTCTCTGACCCTGCCCTCCCATTCCCTTATGCTTTTGATGCAGCTAAGAATACTTCACCCTCTGTGTAATCCTTGCCCCTTTAACAACCCTCTCCCTGTTGGGAAGTCTTTCAAAGTGCCCACATTTCTTTTGTCTCAGAGTGGCCAGTTGTGGGTAACTGTTCTCCGCAAGTGGCTGGAATCTCAGTCTCTCTGAGTATTCCACCAGTCTTTGCTTTCCAACCCCTGGAATCTCCAGAGCACCATGTAATGTGGGTTCAGGCTCCTGGAGCATATCTCCAGGGCTGGGTATTTAGTAGTCCTGGGCTATACTCCCTCCCCGCTCTGTTTCTCTTCCTCCCACCAGTGAGGTGGGGTGGGGGAGGGTTTGGGTCCCGCCAGATGGTGGCTTGCTACTTTACCCTTTTCCATGAGGTCTTCTCCTTTACCCAGATGTAAGCCATCTGTTGAAGTTTCTTTCTGGTCACTCTTTCAGGATTAGTTGTATTTACTGTATTTTTGTGTTATATATGATTTTGGGAGGAGATTTCTGCCTCACTTCTCACATCACCATGTTTTATTTCAAGAGGATGGTTTTACAATGATAGACACTTCTGTAACAAACATATCATAAAACACATGCTTTGTGCACACAGTAGTTTAGTTTTAGATTTGACTCGAGAGACCTAAAAGCAGAAGAAGAAAAATGCCCAAACCATGGCATGGTAATTTAAATCAAGTCAAAATAATAGAATTGGTGGAACTTCCATCAGAGAGATATACCAGGGAATGCAAACAGGCGGTGTCCTTTAGCCTTACAATCTCCCTCTATCACCCCTGATGACAGTGTTAAACGGTGTCAGTTAGCCAGCAGCAGTATGGCTGCAGGGTCAGCTCAGTTCAGCATACCAGAGCAGAGGGCACAGGAGTGGGTGTAGAGTCAAGAGACAATGAATGGTTCACATGTTTTAGGGTTTTTTTTCTTTTTTTCATTTTAGATCCTCTTCATTGCCCAGTCAATCATGGCACCTAGAACTATTATATAGTAATTCTTTCAAAGCATTTATTTAAAGTGATATATTGATGACTAGTTTTATCATTATGGAAAGATGTAGGTCATCTTACTTTTAGAAATATTACTAAAACAAAGTAGATTACGTCCACTGGCTCAACAGAAAACATTCTTTAAGTTCTAACTAGTTTTTCTACTTAAACATGTAAGTCTGCTCATGTCTTGCTTTCTTTTTTATAATCTGATATATGTAACTAATATATAGGAATATTGTGTTTATTATAAATGTTAAATAAGCATTTAGATCATTGCCTGGCAGTTTAATAAAACTGTTAAAATGATCTGATATCCACTCATGTATTTTTCCTCTGAGGTAACACATAGAGAAAATAAACCTATGTAATTAATATGAAATTTTGTGTTTGAATTCCAATGGATATTTCAAAGTGTGAGAATATTCAGCAAGAGAGATGTTATTTTGTTATGAGTACATCACACATGAGTTGCATTGCATCTGAATATGCATAAATAATGCCAAAAGAATGAACATTACAGATTTCCAAATGATTAATTTTAATTCAGAAAATTATTGAAGTTTATTCTATTCATTGACTGAAAACCAAATGCCATTCCAGTTTATTTGTAAAAACCCTCTTTTTCACAGTGTACAGGGCTAAATAAACTTCTGCAATATTTGTTTGAACCTTCCTCTTCCAATCCATTTTCTGCCACTCTTTCCTTGGTTTACTTTTTATTGAGAGAGAAGTGACCTCCCAAGTAAATATAATTGATTCTATAACAATGCCCAACCATGTTTTATTTGAATTTCCCTTTATCACTGTAAGATATTTCCAGTATCTCTCATGGCTCAGATTTGTGCTGCATGAAGATATTACCTTGGGATACCATTTGGTTTTACAAACAATGTTACAGAAAAGCCAAGTCATTCTACACTTAATTAATAATCAGTACAGGGCTGTTTTAATTTTTCCTCTGAGATCCATTTTATCCTAACTGTCAGGAACTCACTCTGAGATGCTATTCCCTGGGGTCCCTTATTCTTGAGTCAGGAAATGTTACATTAATTGATCTTAAGTATGATGGAACCAATACTTAAGCAAGTGGAAAAAAAGTCTGTTGACAGCAACTGATGAGGGCTATTATCTTCATTTTCAGGTTTTTTTTCTAGTGATTTAACACAGGTCACTGTTTGAACATGACGATACCCTGCAAAGAACTACAGTGAGTATTTGTGGACATTCTGTCGAATTTTTACTGTGATGATGTAATTTTGACTTTGCTAGAAATCTCTATAGACTTCTTTAGCAACCTCTTTAATTCTTCTTTTAGGCACATGGCAAGAGAAAATCCATCCAAGGATTTTTAATTCATTCCAAACAAGGGATACATATGCTTCTATTGTCTGCTTGTCTTAATTTTTTTCTTTCATATCAAATATGCACAAATTGGAGTTCAGAACAAAGTGAACTAAACTTAAGTTAGTATACTGTTACCAAAGTGGTAGGAATAGAATACTTAATGTGTTTGGGAATTTTTTTTTAGAATGTATCCTTTCTTCAATTAGCATTGAAGTTTACTTAGAAAAATGTTTTAAAATAAACTTTCAAAACTTCCTGTAACAAGATGCTGTAAGCTGCTTCAAACACTTCCAGAAGTATAGTCTTAAGTGATATTCATATTAAGAATATACATGAGAATCTGATATGGACTATTCTTTTCTTTAAATGCATCAAAAATACCTGCATTTATTAGATATTCCAAATTATTTTACAGCAGTTCTACTTCCAGAAATATGTCCAAAAGAATTGAAAGCAGGGACCCATGTTGATAGCATTATTCACGATAGAGAAAAGGTGGAAGAAAACCAAATGTACATCAACAGATGAATAAGTACACAAAATGAGGTATCTATCCAGAGTGGAATATTTTTCTGCCTTTTAGAAGAAGGATTTTCTGACACAGCTACAAAACAGATAAGCCTCCTTGAGGGCATTAGCCAAGTGAAATGACCCAGTCACAAACAGACCGGTACTGCATCATCCCCCTCACAGGAGGTATCTAGAATAGCCAGACTCATGGAAACAAAGTAGGAAGCTAGTGGCCAGAGACTCAGGGCAGAGAGAAATGGGAGCTCTTTAATGGTAGAGTGTTTCATTTTTACAAGATAAAAATGTTCTGTACATTGTACAACAGGGGGAGTATACTTAATACTGAGCTGTATACTTGAAAATGGTTAAAATAGAAAAACTTGAAGGTGTGTCTGTTTACCACATTTATAAAATTTATATAACTAAAAAACTTGTATAGTGATGTATGTTTCTTGGTTAAAGGAAAGTGAACTTAAATTATGATGAGGATTCTAGTATGTATGTATAGTTTAGATAAGAGATAGTGTGGAGCAGGAAACAAAAGAGTAATGTGAGATATTTCAACTTTCAAGCACTGGCTTTCTAAATAGAATGATAGAAATCAGACATGTAAAATTATATGATTTCAAAATAATGAGTTCCCATAAAAATAGTTTACTCACTACTGGAGTCCTGAGATAAAAGTGAGTAGAGGAGATTCTAGTTAAATTGGTCAAATCTCGGAGTACTTCCAGGAAGAGGTAGATACATAGCCTGGTTCTGAAGATTCCTGTAGGCAAATCACAGAGAGCAGGCAATGGTCTCCAAAGAGAGAGTGTAGCAAACTGAAAGGTGAGTTTTTAAACCCCTGCCCCCTGGCTCCAGCATGCATGTCATTACCCAGTAATCTGTGCTTTGATTTCCAGCAGATTCCATTATGGTGTGTTTTTCAATGTCTCATTTCTATACATCCTTCCTAAGGTCCCATTTCCTGACAGTTTTCAAGAGTACACTACTAAAGAAGAGCTTAGAATCCAGCTGACTGAATGTTTACAGGTGACTTCACCCAGTGGGCTCATTATTTCTCTCATGTCCCACTGAAAAAGATTCCCAGTTGATTTACATCCTGTGATAGACTCTTGAACATGGACAGCAATGACCTCACAGTCGAATTTGTAAAATCATCTTCCCAAACTTAGAAAATAGAATGCTTGGGAGTTAATGTCTGGCTGGGATTCTCAGACAGACATTGCACTGGTTTTAGGGATCAGAGGCTGACATGCTGTGCCAGTTTGCTTGAGCCTGAGGGTGTCCAAGTCATGGAAAGTTCATTTCAGCAGCAAAGCAAGGACAGTCCCAGGCTAACCAAGATGGTTGGTTACCCTACCGAGGGTAGGGCTGTGACTAGTGCCCAATTATTTACACACTTCCCTAGCCTCTACCACCTCATTTACATTCACACTGAATTCTGTTTCCTAGACACTCTGATTTTACATGCCTTCAAAACCTGAGAAAATTGAGAAATGGCGTCTTTATTTCTCAGCACTCAAGATGAGGAGCTAAGAGAATATAATCTTCTCCTGAACAAAGCTTGAACCAGAAGCAACTCTGACTTAACCTTGCCTAATGGAGAGTCGCCTAGAATGAAACTGCCTGACCAAAGTCATTCAGGAAGGTGAGAGCATAGAGTAAATCGTGCAACTCTAGAGGCTGCTAGGGTGGGTTCCTGGCAGCTTGCCTTACAGACAGTAGGCCCTTTAAAAATGTGCTCTGCTGTGCATGAAGATGAACATATTTGAGAGTAGTGGCAATGATGAAGAAATTTTACTTTATTTTACAATATAATTTTGTCCTCACAACAGTATTAGGACCTTAGTATTACCATTTATATGTAGTCATTAAAGAAACAATGCACTGAGAGATAAAATAACAGAAGTCAGTATTACCGTTCCCTCCAGTGGGAGACCCAGGACTGACACCTACAGACTGTCACTGACCTCTCTAGGACACACCTTCAAGCAGAACACGAACCAGTATGGCAAGTGTATGTAAAACCTGACAATATGTGAAAGATCTGAAATAACATGGCAGCTTTATTCAAAATGAGATATGATTTGGAGGTGGAAATATAGATGGAATGGTTGATAATTTGAAATTCAAGTCAAATATTTTTGAATATTTGAAATAACTGACATTGGAAAAGTGATATTAACTAATCTTTACAATAATGAGTGTTGAACAATTTTCTAATTATTATTAGGAGGACCTGGTCTGGTCATTCCATCTGAATCAGAGATCCGGCATCAGAGCTTCTTGGAATGAACCTATAAGGTAGTAGTGCTCTTCCAGCCTATGCGATCTTACCCACCAAAGCGGGCAATCAGATATACATGACACTTGCTTGATGAAGAAAAAACACATCAACTTATCTTAGAGAATTGTTATTTATCAATTTAAATAATGCTATTTGTCCTTGTAGTTATGACTGATCAATTGTCCTGAAGCTGGGTATGGGAGAGATTCCAGTCCCAAAATACAAAGCCAAATTTCCTAAAATGCTCAGTTTGTAAGGAGATGGAGAACTGCACCTCCCATCCACTATCTCTGAGTTCAGAGCTAGAGAGAGGAGGAGGGGAACCTGGAGATTCCTTTTCGCATCTTGTCTTGGAACAACCGTCTACTCATCCGCTTCACAGCAGTGTGGCATTGGTTGGTTCCCATTCTCTGTGCTGGACTTGGTGCGGTGATCCTGTGTGTTACGAGGCTAAACCCAAAGGGGGACCATGGCACCGCTCATGGGGAGAAGAAGGTCTGCATTGACAATAACAGCCTTGCTCTAAATGTCCACTATTGATCCAGGGTGAGGGTACATGTTCTCTGCAATCCACAGGTGTGCAGAGTGTGGTTCATAGTTTCTACTGAAATTCTGCAAGTGAGACAGGCATGGCTTGGATGTCACCTTTGACCCCAAAAGGCCATAGCTCACATAGGTAGGGAAATTTGTTTCTCCAGGTTTCATAAATCAAAAGCCATTGATTCTTGTCCAGGTGCGTCTATATCCCTCTCATCTGGAATCATCTATATTACTTTAGTTATGTTTCGTCTGATTCAGCTTTTCTATTGATGATGCCTCTATTTAGGTATCAGAGAAACAGTATGATCTCTGAAAGGTCAAAGAACAATGATAAAGAAACTTATGAATAAATTCACAATTACTTTGAACATTTTTACTAGATTCACCAGGTCATAATAGTCCTTTAAAAATCTGACTATGCATAAAAACAAATCTATTCAAAGAAACAAACAAATAAGTGAACAGATGACAAATGCTAGAGAAGTTTTGGGGAGAAATTAAATAGACCAAGAATTTCCTTATGAAAATCTTGGCTACTTTTCAGAAATTTTCCCAGCTGTCTTTTTTCTTGAGTATGCCTAAGAAAAAACTTTTTCTGTTTAATATCTAATATTTGTCCAATATGTACCACTTTTGGAAATAAGAAATCAAGTTTACAGTTTTAACAGCTAACTTACAGCTATAATGAAGTGAAACTGCAGTCTTACATCTACTTTGAACACAATTATCTTGCCATTGTATGAAAGTATAGCAAAGTAGTTCAAATTTTCAGACTGTGCTTATGAAACTGAAGGAAAAAATATGAAGGTAGGCATTTGATTAAATAGTTTAGTGCTTGGAAACCAATACACTAGTCAACAGTCCCTGATTATTGTCCAGCCTCAGAATATTCTGTTGGGCAAATTTCTCCTGAAGCCTTTCTGCTGTAATAGACACTGACAACTTCTCTCATTCTTGATATTCCCACTTACATATGTTTTAAGAAAGCATGTTCTTAACAGAATTAGTGACATATGTAATTGTTTGTATTATATTTCCAGTGGATATATAAATATATACACATATATGGGTGTATATAAATATATACTATATATTTATGTAAATTATGCTGAGATAAGCTTACTTTCAAAATGACAATATTGAAATATTTGAAGACATCTACTTTTTCTTTTTCTTCTTGACCTCTGGCTTCGGTTTATTGCAGTCATGAATGGAAAACATGCATCAGGAAATGGTGTGCATCTGGAGAACAGAGGCTCTTGTGTGGAAGACTGAGCCCTAGCAGAGGGAATTCTGCTACAAAGTTGTATTGATTCAAATATTCAAATCACTCAGCTCTCTCTCTCATACCTCCCTGCATTAAATTCCCTAATAAAAGGACCCTAATAAAAGGGCTTTAATTACTAGTTGTTCATTCTCTGCCATGCCTGCCATTTAATGAAAGCAAGATGAACAACAGCATTGTCACCGACTTTGTGATTCTGGGCTTCACCCAAAAGCCTGAGCTCCAAGGAGTTCTTTTCCTCGTGTTTCTCTTCATCTATCTCATGGCTTTTCTTGGCAATATGCTCATTGTCATCGCCATAATCTGTAACGCCACCTTGCACACCCCCATGTACATTCTGCTGTTGGCACTGGCTGTCGTGGACATCATCTGCACAACAAGCATCCTGCCGAAGATGCTGGAGACCCTGCTCGCTTCAGGGAAGACCATTTCATACGAGGGCTGCATGACCCAGCTCTTCTTCTTCACATGGTCTCTGGGGGCCGAGATGGTTCTCTTCACCGCCATGGCCTACGACCGCTCTGTAGCTGTCTGTTTCCCTCTTCGCTACAGGGCCATTATGAGCCACCGTATGTGTGTGACTTTGCTTAGCATTGTTATGGCTATTGCAGTGACCAACTCCTGGGTACACACAGGGCTCATCCTGAGGCTGACCTTCTGTGGGCCAAACACCATTAACCACTTCTTCTGTGAGATACCCCCTTTGCTGGCTCTGTCCTGCAGCCCGGTGGGAATCAACGAGGTGATGGTTTGTGTTGCTGATATCACCCTGGCCGTAGGGGACTTTGCCTAAAGGACCCTAATAAAAGGGCTTTAATTACTAGTTGTTCATTCTCTGCCATGCCTGCCATTTAATGAAAGCAAGATGAACAACAGCATTGTCACCGACTTTGTGATTCTGGGCTTCACCCAAAAGCCTGAGCTCCAAGGAGTTCTTTTCCTCGTGTTTCTCTTCATCTATCTCATGGCTTTTCTTGGCAATATGCTCATTGTCATCGCCATAATCTGTAACGCCACCTTGCACACCCCCATGTACATTCTGCTGTTGGCACTGGCTGTCGTGGACATCATCTGCACAACAAGCATCCTGCCGAAGATGCTGGAGACCCTGCTCGCTTCAGGGAAGACCATTTCATACGAGGGCTGCATGACCCAGCTCTTCTTCTTCACATGGTCTCTGGGGGCCGAGATGGTTCTCTTCACCGCCATGGCCTACGACCGCTCTGTAGCTGTCTGTTTCCCTCTTCGCTACAGGGCCATTATGAGCCACCGTATGTGTGTGACTTTGCTTAGCATTGTTATGGCTATTGCAGTGACCAACTCCTGGGCACACACAGGGCTCCTCCTGAGGCTGACCGTCTGTGGGCCAAACACCATTAACCACTTCTTCTGTGAGATACCCCCTTTGCTGGCTCTGTCCTGCAGCCCGGTGGGAATCAACGAGGTGATGGTTTGTGTTGCTGATATCACCCTGGCCGTAGGGGACTTTGCCCTGACCTGCCTCTCCTACAGCTTTATCATTGCTGCCATCTTCCGCATCCGCACAGCAGAGGGCAAGAGGAAGGCTTTCTCTACATGCTCAGCCCACCTGACCGTGGTGTCCCTCTACTACTTCCCTGTGATCTACACCTATATCCGCCCTGCTTCCAGCTACGCATTTGAAAGGGACAAGGTGGTAGCTGCGCTCTATACTCTCGTGACTCCCACATTAAACCCAATTGTGTACAGTTTCAGGAACAAGGACATGCAGACAGGGATTCGGAAAGTCTTTGCATTTCTGAAATATTAATGGTTTCAACAGGAAACATCAATTCTCTACTCTAGAATCATCTTATAGATATCTTAAATTTTACTGATCTTTCATAGTTACCTCCAACCTAAGTCTTCCTGTTCCCTCTTATGAGAAAGAATGTTCACTCCACTGTAAAATATTTAACCACTACTGTAAAGATAGTATGTGTTAAGTTTACTTGAAACTTAACTTTGAACTAGGTAGCATGCAAACATTCCTAGAAAGTTCACTACATTTTGGAACCTTTATTAAAGTTAAATGTCTTTTGCTGGAATTAATCCAAATGACTTCAAAGCAAAGTAATTCCACTATATATCTTTAATGTAATATAATCTAAATGCAAAGAAGTGTCTGTCATTCTGAGATACAGTCCACAAAGTCTTCCACACAAACCATTATTTTCAACAACAAAAAATCTTCAAGATTAAAAACTGCAAGAACTCATGATGTATTTTACCTTTAAACTGTGTTGTGCCCTAGCTCTGTCCACTCAAAGGGGTTCTAAATAACACCCACACAGTATCATGGAACACTAACAGCACTGAGATAAAATCTATATCCTATAAAAAGAAAAAATAATCCTTGGGGCAATCGTAAAACTACCTGTCAGGGGGAGAATGTATAAATGCAAGCTGGTAATTAGTGCTCACCTATGAAAACAAGAACGTGATAGAATAGGTCATGATAAATGCAGTCAGTCAACAATTTACATGCTTTTACTGGCAGAGTGGAAACTAGTGCATCAGTATGGACAGTGATTACAATAAACTTAACCCATCAAATATGTTTAAATTCAGAAGTTCCAAATGATCCTAACATATTTTGATGACATAGGAGATATTTTAGCCAACCAACTCATTAAACTGGTAAAATATAAAAAAAATACTTTTTAAATTTCCAATATAATTTGCACATCGGGACATCAGAATTGCCAAATAATTGGCTTATGTATAATAAGGGTGTGTGTGTTTCCAAGAAGAATTTCAGCTAATAAACAAAGATGGAAGATAGAATTAAAATACCACCACCTTGACAGCTTAAATGTAGGCAGTGATCTCTGATGGCCACATGACAGCCCCAGAAGAGAGAGACGGGCACCAGTGTAGGTCATCTTGCCTAAAAAAGCAGATGACAATTTCATCAAAAATGTTATATCCAACAAACAATTTATGGTAATTGCAGAAGTCAGATGAAAATTACACCACGGATATACATCCAACAAAATCCAGACTATGGGAAACTTTATGACAAACTATCCGGTTTCTTCAACAACAATTAAATCCAAAAATTAAATTAAAAACAAACAAATAAAAAGATAAAGGTGAACCTATAGAATAATGATTCTTACTTTTATCCCCTTTCAGGCAAACACATTTTACAAGATCTAAAATGTCAATGAAAGGAACATGAGCTCCGGCTGGATATTGGATAATAGCATTTAGGAAGTGTTTTTTTTGTTGTTGTTGTTATTATATGAAAAAGAGTTGTTTCTCAGAGATACATTGTAAACTATGTACACATTAAACTATAAGGTATGTGATACAATAGGTGAAGGCAATATGTCTTCCATCTTTGATAATCATTTCTGAAATTTGTTTACTATTTTTTCATGAATTAAAAAAGCAAAACTTCATATGGCAAAATCATTTTTAGAAGTCTACTTCATTTTAAATGTTCTCTGTAAAAATTAACTGCTTATAAGTTTGTGAACTTTTGTCTGAAAATATGCCACATGATTTAGATTTTGAGATAGGGAATGAACTTCACCACAGAAATTTAAAATAAAAATCATAATCCAGAAAAGATAGCTGTTCAACTAATGGTTAGCCTTACATAGTTCTTTTACATAATATTTTTTTAGAGACAGAATTTAGTATTGGAAACACATTTTCTGTGCTGTATCTTTCCTTCACTCACAAAAATAAGTATTTGAGTATTTTCTTACTAAAAGAGAATTGTACAGATATTAGCTAGTAACACAGAACTACAATGACTGATTTATTTTAAATTCATTTTTCTAAGAATTTAGCATTGCTTTTCCTGTTTCTTTGAAAACAATTTATTGACACTAGAATCAAGTAAGGTTTCTCATCACCTGTTTTCTCTTACCTATTACAGCCATGCTTGTCAATATCAAGAAAACAAGTGTTTCCACAAAATAGTGTCTTCTCTTTTTTTTCACATGAAAGACTTCAAAGACAGCTCTCAAATATGAATCATGCAAGAGTTTCCAAAGTGTGATCGACTGTCATTTTTAAGGTTTATCCCTTTTCTGGAAGCTTAGTTTTAATACTTTTTCCTAACAGCAATGGCTTTATACTATTACTGGATAGTATCAGGAGGCAATAAAACACTCACATTGGAGTTCATCGCTAATAATAGAGTAAACCTGTATTTCAATTGTTTCAATATTTTCAATTTTTTATTACTGTGAGCATTTGACAGAAATTTTTTTTTATGTCAGAGTCTGGTTAGTTAATATACATAGTGATGCTGATTCGAGTGTTTTTATTTTCTTGCTGTTCCTTTGATAATTAAAGATGAATGTTACAATGAATCACCAAGGGAAAGAGACATTATATAATATAAAATATAAAGAAAAAAGATTAATCATCAACAACCTTAAAAACATGATAAATAAACCAGTATAACACCATTTGAAGAAATAGCAAATATATAAATACTTTAATAAGCTTGAACATAAATACATTTAATTTTTAAAGCATATATACTACTGTATATACAATAGTGCATATTACACTCCCCCCAAAAAGAAAGCAGAGATTTTTATAAGCACATGTAATAACAATTTTTAAAATGAGTCATATATTTAACCATAAAATGAGCCTCAATAAATTTAAAAGGATCAATGTGTGAAGTAATTCTAAGTATTATTGAATATGTTTATGTGTGTGTTGGGGATGGGTGTGTATGAAATAACATTATGGAATAATCTCTAGGATATATTGCTAAGGAAAGTTTTAATTAATATTACTTATATTAAATAATAGAAGGATATACCAAAGTTAATATGGGTCATTTTCTATAGAGTTAGGAAGGCTACAGTGTGACTAAGACAGGACTGGAACCTTCTTTGTATTCCAGCATTTACCTTTTTGTACCTTATTTTGTAGTTTGTAGGTCATGTAAATATTTCACATAATTGTACAAAACTAAATCTTAAATCACTAAAATTGGAAGCAAAGTAATTTAATTTGGTATAAATGGTTAGCCTAACTACAAAAATATTTTAATAACCTTAAACCAGAATAAAGTGATGTAAGGTTCAGTAAAATAAATCATAAGAGGAAAAAAACAAAAGGATACACAATAAGCCTTCCAAAGAAACAAACAGACAAAAAGAGAAACTCAGTTACATTTGAGGCATGAATGGACATTTCAATGTAACCAAAGAGTGAAGTACTTATCATGTAGAGAAACTTAAAGCAAATACATGCAAAAGGAACAAAAACATTTAAGTATCATTTTTCAGTGACTGCTGAAATTACTAGGTAAAGAGGGGATATTTTATAACTAATGATAGAGATTGAAAATACCTGACCATAACAATTAAACCTATTATGAATGGAAAAGAGGCCACAATACATTATATGATCCTGATATGATGCAATAGAGGTACACCGCATCTGAATTCTTCACAAATCAATGGAAATAAGAATCAAACTTTTATTTTACAGAAAGAACAAGAGACAGAACAAGTTCAGTGGCTATGGAATTGTAATAAAATAATCCAGAAAGTGGAAAATTTTGTAGAAAAATGGCTTATTTTATCAGCAAATATATAAAAGATACAAAAATAACTCATGAGTGGAAAATTGTTGAAGATTAACAGAAACCTAAGACACAGATCAGCCAAATTTGTGGGCTTGTTTAGACTCTGTTTTGAAGAAATCAATAGTATAAGACACCTAAGCTGCAACAGAAGTGATTAGACACTTACTGGCTGTTTGACAATATTAAGGAAATACTGCTAAGATATTTCTATGTAACAGCTGAATTTTATTGTATTAGATAAGTAGCCCTAATTTTATTGACAGACTAAAGTAATTATAACAGTCGGGGAGTGTGGGCAAAAGGTGCTTTGGATGAATTAATGTTCCAGCTGGAACCTGACAGGCTTTGACCTGGGATTCTGGCCCCTCCCAGCTGTGCAGTGGCCTCGATCCCCCCACCCCCACCCCCGGAGCAGGCAGGAGGTCAGTGGCATGGAGTTTAGACTCCCCAAGGTCTATGATCACATAGTATAATTCCTTATAATAACAACAATCTCTCTATATATATTTATGAATATATTTATATACATGTGTGAATATATCTATATATGTATAAATGTATATGTATTATGGGCAGTAATCTTTCAGAACTTACACTAAGAAAGATTTTTAAAGTTCTCTCTGCATGCAAAAGTTATAATGATGAGGTGATGGATTGATTCATGAATTACTAACATT